GATTTCATCCGCTTCTACAGAGTGATAAGAACAATCAATTTCATCCGATTCCAAAGAGAAAACTGTTAAACCACCAGTACTTGGCCCAGCTATCGGCCGTGGCGCTTTCCCGTTAACGCGCCGCGCCTTTAGGGCTTCGGGGTACCGGACCACAATGGCTTGAAGCGCCAGCCAAAACAATTTTGAAACGGTGTCCCGGCGCTTCGGCGAAAATCGGCGCGCAGGGGCATTCCAGGCTCGGCATCGATAGCTGGGCCAAGTACTGGTCGTTTAAAACATCGATTTACTCCAAGTCAAACAACAGGAAGTTTCTGATGGCAACGTTGAAACAGCAGCTTCATATAATATACCTTCACTAAGGAGGCGGTGGAGATGGGGTAGGGGAGGCCACGAGGGTTGCAATGGAGTGGGAAAAGGGGTCGAGATTGGGTGGCCATGGAGGGGGAGAAGGATCGTGATGGGGGGCCAGGAGGATCACCATGGAGGTGGAGAAGGGCCGCGATGGAGGGGGGCATAAGGCCACGATTGAGGGGCAGTAGAGCCGCGACGAAGGCGGAGAAGGGTCACCATGGAGGCAGGTCACAATGGCGGGCTAGGAGGATCCCACCGGAGGCGGAGAGGAGTCACAATGGAAGGGGAGGAGGGTCGCAATGAGAAGGAAGGAGGGTCGTGATGCAGGCGGAGAAGGTCGCAACGGAGGAGGGGGAGGGTTGCAATGAACAGGGTGGCATGGGGGCACAGGAGGGTTGCGATGGATGGAGGAAAGGGTCGCAATGGATGGGAGAAGGGTAACCGTTGCAATATAGGGGAAGAAGGGCTGCAGTGGACGGGGAGGAGGGTTGCGATTGCAGAGGGTGTCTCTCTCTCTCTCTCTCTCTCTCTCTCTCTCTCTCTCTCTCTCTCTCTCTCTCTCTCTCTCCTTCCCATTATATGCGTCAAAGACTAAGAAGGAGAAGATGACTGCCTCAGCAGCGAGTCCATGGCAGCAGGGCGGCGCAGCGCGTCGATGGGTATCGAGGGTGGCACGGCAGCGCAGCAATCCTTCTCAGGCAAATGGCAGCAGTGCCGGATGTTGGCGTGACTTCACACCCACACACCGCGAACGGACGGCAAAGCAACAGTGCGCACGGCGGGGTGGGGAGTTTCAGAGTCCCTGTCCGAACAGCTTCAAAATGTGGCCAATCTCGGCCGCCGATCTTGATAGATCAGCGGCTTAGATCCGCCGACCGCTTCTCTTTTTTTTTTTCTATTTGGCTCTGGCTTCAAGGGTATTGCAGGAGGCTGCAGGAACCTCTACCTGATCGGTACTCAACTTGAAGTGAAAATGCACTGGGCCCACTTGGGGGCCGGGGGTGCACCCACCCGGCGGATACCAGCCCCGTTCGCCTGGGAGGCTTCCGGGCGAAGGAAGGCCACCCAGTCGAACAGGGGACCAGAACTGACATGCACGCCATTCTGCTTAAACCACCAGTACTTGGCCCAGCTATCGGCCCCGGAAAAATATAAAGTAGAAACGTTTCTAGTTGGATGAATTTGGGCGCTCCTGTAGTGGCCCGTACGTTTCCTAAAATCGCGTCGCATTAACGGGCGCAACTTTAGGAAGTACTGGTGGTTTAAAGTCCTTTGAGATGATGATAGCCGCTTTTGCAAAATTTCCGGAACCAATTCACTACCTAGGCTACCAGAGTGGCCCAGGGGGCTGGTCCCACCTGTGTTGTTGAGAAAACTCAACCCGGAGTTTTCTACGACGAGCGACAACGTTCGACAGGATGTGGCCGTCGACAGGGCTGCGATACCACGGTTGGAAATATTTCGAAATGTTGATGTCCTACCGGGTGATTTGAATGATTTTTTTTTTTGTAGAAGGACTTCGAATGGACTCCCGCAATGGAGGGAAGGCGGCATGGGCAAGCGCCACGGAGTTGAGAAAGCTACCCTCCACGGTCGAGGGTAGGTTTCTCAACATGGTCGATGAGAAATTTTGCGATTTTTGGGATTTTTAGTCGCCGTCTGCTGTTCCCCGTTTCTCGTATACTGTGTCAGGCACTTCGTCAGTGCAATGAAAGCCGTAACTGTCGTGCATGGGCTCTATAAGGCCTCGCTCCGTTGCTCACCACATGCACAAACAAAAGAAAAAAGAAAGTYGATGTATGTTTCYGTGTTCTTGCCTATATTCATTGCTCTTTGGACCCACTTCCACGTCCTCGTGTTTCCACATCATGGGGCCTCGCTGCACTACTCTCGACATGCACAAAAGACAAAAATCATGGCAGTGCATCTTTCCATATTCTAGTGAAAGATTCATCACTCTCGTTTTGCACATTTTGAGAGTAGTGCAGCGAGGCCCATATGGTACTTCAAGATACGCAGAATCCTCGACAGAAACCACTATTTTCGCATCATTTTCTTAAAATGAATAAAAACTGCTACGAATAAATCTGAAATGCATTTTTCGGATTTAAAAAATACGGTAAATGGTGTCACACCGTTGAGGTTTCTCAACTCAACGGCCGTAGGTGGGACCAGACCCCAGGGCCACTTGCCCGGCCAGTCGAAAAAAAAAAAAAAAAAAAAAAAGTAAAATACAAAAGATTTTTTTCACTTTTTATTTTTATTTTTCATTTGGTAAAGAATTTCAATGTGACCCTGAGGCAAACTTTGTTTAGTTTATGTTTCTGCATAACGGCCTCGCTGCACTACGCAATACTCTTGGGAGTTTTCGACAGTTCTACTAGTAGTAACGACCATTTCGTCAAAATGGACATCTTTTACTTTTTGAGCGAAATTGAAACCGAGTTTTCTGGCCCAAAACTCGTCAAAATTTGCCGTTCCTGAGGGTCCGGCGTTTGTAAAACGCTGGACCCCCTAGCTGTACATGGACCTAGCTTGAGACCAGGTAAACTCGGTTTCAATTTCGCTCAAAAAATAAAAGATGTCCATTGGGACGAAATGGCAGTTTAGTGCTGTCAAAGCCGTGAAACTCTCGACTTTCGAGGCATCGCTGCACTACCACTAGACTCGAGAATTGTAGAATTGATTCTCAAAACCCCGCCTGGCTCCAAGAGCACTACAGGACAATGGGTCGGCAGGTCTGCGCCCCGGAACCTCCGGTTTTTTCGATGGGTCGACAATCGAAAAAACGAGCCTGGAAGTGGGGCAAATGCAAAAAAAATGAGCCTGGAAGTGGGGCAAATGCGAGAAGAGCCCAAAAAAACGAAATGCTGCAGGCAGGCCAGTCTCGACGTTTTGAGAGTGCCCTTCTAGCGTGTGGTCTGACAACAAAGTTTTTTTTTTTTTTTTTTTTTTAATAAMAAAATTTGGACCATTTCTCGATTTATGTGTGTCATCCTTGCGCAGGGGCCATGCTAATCTCCCTTCTGTGTATCGTTCCAATTTTAACGGATGTCCCGAGAGCGCCAATCGAGAGGAAGTGGAGCAATGCACTACACTAGACTTTTCGAGAGTCTAGTGTAGTGAGCCGAGGCCCAATGAGGGATGGTGGACTTGTTTTCCAGAATATCATGAAAGGAAAAATTTACGAAAAATTTACGAAATACCCCTGAAAAAGTTGACATATGTGCTGTGGGTGGAGCGGAATAACCGTCTTAAAAACTTCAAAAGTTCGTGAAATGCCCTTTCCGATTTGCATCTTTGCAATCTGACCCTGTCAGGATGCTGTGCAAGTTTGTGTTCTGCCCCTGACAGGGGTATATATAGTGCAAACGAGGCAACCGCCTCAGTGGGGTATAATGCAAAGATCTAACTCCAGAGGGCATTTCAGAGAGGTATTTCGTGCTACCCACAGCTCTTAGGGGCATTTTAGCATGCACGTGAACTTTCAGGGGCATTTCGCAAAATTTCCCTAAAACTCTCCTCTGAAAAGAAACAAAAACTCTCTTCTCTCTTCGTGCCACACTGAAAACGAGAGAATAGAACTTAGCTTTTCGGACAAAAAAAAAAAAAAAAAAAAAAAAAAGAAACACAGAAATGCAAAGCAACGAACCGAAATTTGGTCCGGAAACAAAACCTCAGCACTGCAGACATATTCAACTGTTTGTCATTGGGCCTATTATGAGTAATAAAAAATTAAAAATGATCTTTCAAAAAAAAAAAAAAAAAAAAAAAGAGAGAGCTTCAACAGTTCCAGTCCGTCCGTGTATCGGAACAATGGTATAATTTTAGTAATTTATTAATTTTGCTTATCCCTGCTTGCGGTGCTTTTCAGACTTTTCTTTTTCTTTTTTCAAGTTTTTCAAATTCCTGAAGATAAAACATCGGGTGATTCAGGTCGATTCCAAATACACGTCAACATCTTTGACTGCAGATCAACCATGAAGGACTGTAGAGTCTGTAGACCCAAGACATGGTCCGGGTTTTCTCTTCGGCATCTCCTACCCCCCACCCCACCCCTTCGCACCCCTCCTCCACCCAACCTCTACCCATGCACCCACCCCCCTATCCCTCTCTCCTCTCTACAGATCTGACCCCACTGGAGGACTGATCCATGGCTGCACTCACCTCCTCTCTTCTCCATCGCCCTCGTCCTCATTCGAGTTCCCCCTGCACATCCACACCCCTCAGCTCCGACATCCTTCGCCCCCAAAACCCGGTGCAGATCTGCACACACTGCACGAGTGATCGAGGGCTACCCCTCAACCCATTATCCTCAGCCACCTGTACACCCCCCATCCTCTCCTCCTCCTGCTGCTCTTTTTCCTCCTCCCTCCTCTCCAGCCCCAATACGTATGACATCCAGCTTCCATGTTCCAAGGACCGAGGCTTTCTCTCTTTTTTTCTTTTTCTTTTTCTTTTCTCTTTTTTTTCTCCTGCTGTGCCAAGGCTTTCCTTTTTTTTTTTTTTTCCAGAAAAATGAAATGCAAAAGCATCCAAAGCACAAGTGCACCCCCGACCAACTTGGCAAATGCATGTAACCAGAAAGCCATCCCAACCTTCCCCCACCCTTTCCCCGATCTCCTCCTCATCCATCCTCTCCTCCTTGTCAATGTGTTTGAGATCACATCCCTCTGAAGTTCCATGCCCTTGCACCTGATTCTTTGTGACTGTCAATGTCACCGTCTGCTTCCCTTTGACACCCTTTTCTTCTGTTTCACACCGTTTGCTTCCATCCGCTTCCGTTTACTTCTGTTTGCTTCCATTCGCTTCCGTTTGCTTCCGTTTGCTTCCGTTTCCGTCTGCTTCTGTTTGCTTCCGATTGCTTCTGTTCGCCTCCGTTTGCTTCCGTTTGCTTCCGTCTGCTTCTGTTTGCTTCTGTTTGCTTCTGTTTGCCTCCGTTTGCCTCCGTTTGCTTCCGTTTGCTTCCGTTTGCTTCTGTTTCACACCATCTGCTTCCGTTGGCTTCGCTTCCGTTTGCTTCTGTTTGCTTCTGTTTGCTTCTGTTTGCTTCCATTTGCTTCTGTTTGCTCACTGCATTTGCTTCCGTTTGCTTCCGTTTGCTTCCGCTTGCTTGCGTTTGCTTCTGGTTGCTTGCGTTTGCTTCCATTTGCTTCCGTTTGCTTCCATTTGCTTCCGTTTGCTTCTGTTGCTTTGCCTCCGTTTGCTTCTGTTTCACACCATCTGCTTCCGTTTGCTTCCGTTTGCTTCCGTTTGCTTCCATTTGCTTCCGTTTGCTTCCGTTTGCTTCCGTTTGCTGAAATCGTGATGGCGTTCGTGCTCGGAGTCAAACTAACATCAAGAGTGCAGACTCTGTGTAGGTTTGATTTCGTAGTACATCCACAGCCTCGTGGGAAGAGCATGCACATCTCTCTTCCTTAGCGCACATTTGTCAAATCGTGATAGCGTTCGTGCTCTGAGTCAAACAAACATCAAAGAGTCCAGTCACCTTGCAACCTCGATGTATGTTGGCTTCGTAGTACAAGTCCATCCACATTCTCGAGGGAAGAACAACAGTGACAGTAGTAATCACACACCTTTCTTCCTTAGCGGAGCCATTTCTTCTCCACCCATCTTCATCACTCACCCCCACATATAACTGGTCTCGTCCCCTAATGAGCCCCCCCCCCTTCCATTTTGCACCCTCATGCAGGGTTCACCCACCCACCCACCATGGATCTAGGCATTTCTCCATACAAGTCTGCATCCAACCTGTTGGATCAAACAAGAGTTAAGGTCACCAGGTACTTCTCCCCCCCACACATCATCTCTTCCCTCTCTCCCATTTCTCTCCTCCCTTCTCCCTCCTCTACCTCGTCCTCCTTCACTTTCCACGCCCACCATCTTCGTCCTCTAAGTCCCCCGCACCCGGCACAGTGCACACATCTCACCACCTCACCTGCACGGACACATTCAGAAAGCAACGCCATACGTTTCGTAATCAACCCCTCGGGCCCTTGCAGCCAGAACGGAAACATTTGCACCTGCTTAAAAATCTCCCCTCTTTGTCAGAGAGTACGGCAATCTTCTTTACGATATTCCCTCTTCACCACCAGATTATGCCGGCAATCATTTTCGTTCTCTAAGACCCCCCTTGCACCCCACAAAGTGCACACGCATCTCTGGTATACATGCACATGAAGTGACGATTGCCAAGCAACCGAAGACCGTTGCACCCCACGCTGTACATGCGACCACTGCATGTGCATCTTGAACACATGCAGAAGCAACACCATCATCTTCGTTGTCAGAGATCTCCGCACCCCACACAGTGCACGGATCGCACCACCATACACCCCTCCCGACCGCACCTCCCGACCGCAGAGAGCCTGATCCGAGAAGAATAGCACATTTTAGGTAATTAGCTCCGTTGGTAGAGTGCCCCGTTTACACCGAGAGAGCCAACGCGTTCGAGTTTGCAAAAATTACCCAGATGGGAAAATAGTAAAATACTAGCTCAGTTGGTTAAGTGTGCGGGCCTGTCACGCCAGAAGTCGCAGGTTCAAATCCCGCTTTTTTCCCGGGAGGTATGGCTGCTGAGTGGCTGATGACATCTTCCTTACGATCTGCCCTCGTCATCACAAAGGGTACCAATCTCCTTCTTCTGGGAATCTCCCTTCCTCGCCAGATCTCATGCCATTCTTCTCTTCGTTCTCTGTAGGCCCTCGCACCCGACAACAATCCCTGTTGTGCTTTATTCTCTACAGCAAACTCGACCAGCAAGCCTCGTTAGATTCTGACATGTTTGAGTCTATCGCCGGATTGCTTGACTCTGCTGCAAGCCTTCGCTGGAATAGAGACACGCCGATTGGTCCTCGTACAGCGGGTACACACCTCTCTCAGCCTTCTTTTCTCTTTTCCCCATCTCAGATGTTCAGTCCATCTGATCCACAAGAGTGTCCATGCCATTCAAGAACAAACAGAGGAGTCTTTGTATTATTTTAGTCTGATTAGCATGTGCTCTGCTTATCAGTCTTGCAGCCCCGTCAGGCGGCAAGGAAGAATCGCCCGATAGAACCTGCGGTCACTATATCTGTACTTGAAGCAGTTTTCCACCCAGATGCAGAGAGATATGATGACCCCATTTCTCTATTTGAGTGACGTAAGCGGCTTTGTTCGACAGAAAGGCTCTTTGCTGCCATACCATCGCGGACGGAATAGAAGTCATGTAGTAGTAGTAGTAGTACCAATACTTGAGCTCCGAGTGGACGTGGCGATTGGGTGATCGCTTCCCACCGATTCGACACAAGGCTCATCCGGACTCTCACCTCGGATGCCAATCAGTGACAATCACTACTGCTATGGCTTTTTTATTGAATCAACATTGATGAGAAGAAGAGGACGAGACGCACAAGTACCTACCCCCATGGCAATCTTTATTGCTTGAGGGCCCACATAGCATAGCCCAGAAACATAGTCAAAGTTCAGCAAAGTTTAGCCCAGCATAGCCCAGCATAGCCCAGCATAGCCCAGCATAGCATGGCATAGCCTATAAAGGCAAGGTACAGCAGAGAATAGGTGAGGCAGAGGCCAGCATAGCATAGCCGAGAAACATAGTCAAAGTTCCGCAAAGCATAGCCCAGCATAGCCCAGCATAGCCCAGCATAGCATGACATATAGTCTATAAAGACAAAGTGCAGCATAGCCAAGTAACATTAGAAGTCAAAGTCCGGCAAAGCATGGCCCAGCATAGCACGGCATAGCCTATATGAGCAAAGTGTAAGAGAAAATAGCTTAGGCAGAGGCCCACATAGCATATCCGAGGAACGTAGTCGTAGTCCGCAAAGCAGAGCCCAGTGCAGCGGAGAATAGCTTGGGGGGGGAGGCCCAGATAGCATATAGACCAGTAGAGCACGACATAGTGTCATTGTCTATACAAGCAAAGCGCAATAGAGAATAGCTTAGGCCGAGGCTGACATAGCATAGCCGTCCGTGCAGAGCCTGGAAAGGCACGGCAAAGCTCAGCAAAAACCAGCACAACTCAGTTCTCCACACTACAGCCCAGCTACTGCGATGAGATAGCCAAGTAACAAAATCAAAGTCCGGCAAAAGCATATCCCAGTATAGCATGGCATAGTCTATAAAATAGTCTATAAAATCAAATGTGCAATAGAAAATAGGGAACATGATAGCTTATCCAGAGGCCCACATACATTTGCCGTGCAGGGCCTGGCAAGGTGCGGCAAAGCTCAGCAAAACCCAGCATAACTCAGTACTTTAACTCAGCTACTGCTATCAAAAAATCACTATTTCACTCCTTAAAAAAAAAAAAAAAAAAAAAATCTTCGCACTGCTCAGCCTTTACCAAGCACAGCCCAGCCACAACCCAGGCACAACCCAGGCACAGCCCAGGCCGCAACCCAGGCGCAGCCCAGGCATAGCCCAGGCATAGCCCAGGCATAGCCCAGGAATAGCCCAGCAAAGCATAGGGGTGACAAGGCATAACCCAGCAAAGCACAGTCCGAAAAAAAACACCGCCCAGAATATCATAGCATAGCCTATAAACGTGATGTGCCACAGAGAATAGCTGAGGAAGACAACGAGGGGAGACGTTTGCGTGCGTAATTACTAATTACTAATTAGTATTAATTACGGATGTTTTGACTGGACGGTGGAGAAGGAACCGGGCTGACAATTCCCAGTGAGGTGCAGCAAATCTCAGAATAACCCTAAACCCTAACTCCGTAATGCACACCAGATCCCAGATACGGGATTTTTTTTTTTTTTTTTTTTTTTTGACGGGAAAGGTAGAGCCCACAAAAAAAAAAAAAAAGCTAAACAGCGTCACAACCCGGCATAAACTTTGTAATATACACCCCTGCACAGCAATGGGAAGCCTAGTCCCACCATCGAAAAAAAAAATATATATATATATATCACCCAATGCAATCTCAGGGTAGGTTCTGCTATTCACCGGCGAAACATAGTCAGACCTAGCACTGCTTAGTAATATACATGGGCAACATGGCATATTGAATGCCTGCCCCTCGAGCAATAAAGATTGTACAACATACCCACACGATGCACAGTTCACACCTTCCCAGCTATGGGACGCCGAGCCAACAACCGACAACTATACATGCATGCCCAGCTATGCAAAGCCTAGCCAATGATCGACCAACATAGATAAACAAAGCCACACCATCTATAGTCTGGGCCAGTATAGTTCAGCAAATATAGCCCAGGACATCGATACCATCGGGTCCAATCTGGGACATTTTGGTACCACTGGGTTTTACTGCCCTGTGCCAGAGAGCAAAGCATGGCTATTCAGGGCCACGATAGCTCTACAATAACATGAGGCTTCTCTGCATTTGCAGCAAAGTCATCCTATGCCACTAGACTAGCCCTGAAATAGCCCTAGGATAGCCATAACTGACACTAAAATAGCCATTCAGTAGCCCTATAATAGCCCAGCAACTCCTACAAATAATCGAGTTTCTCCCCTTTCGGCTTGCCCTAGCTTGGTGACCTGATTGTGCTATGCTCTCTCCAGTATTTCAACTCATCTCTGGATGCTCGCAAGGCCAAGACCAGGTTTGGACCACGTTTGGACCACGTTTGGACCAGGTTGGGACCAGGTTTGGACCAGGTTTGGACCAGGTTTGGACCAGGTTTGGACCACTTTTGGACCAGGTTTGGACCAGGTTTGGACCGAGTTTGGACCACTTTTGGACCAGGTTAGGACCGGTTGGGAGCAGGTTTGGACCAGGTTCGGTGCAGTTAGGACCAGCTTAGGACCAGGTCATAACGCCTACACAAACAGTTCGAGTTCATCCCTTTCACCCTCACCTAGCTTGGTGATGTCATTGCGTTAAGGACTACATGATTAGAGCTGCAACCAGCCTGGTCCTTACCTGGTCCTAACTGAAACTGCAGTGAGCCTGGTCCTCACCTGGTCCAAACTGAAACTGCCTGCACCTAGCCTGGTCCTTACCTGGTCCTAACTGCACCTAGCCTTGTGAGGGGTCCTTACCTGGTCCAAACTGAAACTACACCTAGCCTGGTACGTACCTGGTCCAAACTGAAACTGCACCTAGCCTGGTCCTTACCTAGTCCTAAGGACTACTACACAGCGGATGAGTTGGTACATTTGTGGCTTTGCCAGAGTTAGCGGTGCTGCCTACCTTCACAACACAGTTGCGATGCCCTCTCTCCCAGATTAGAACTCATCCTTGGCTCGCTGCAAGGCCTTTTGGCAAGGTTTGGACCACGTCTGAACCACGCCGTAACGCCTATTATTAATTTATTAGATTAGATGAAAAATGAAACAGTTGAGGTTCTCCTTTTTTTTTGGCCTCCTCACCTCTCGCTTGGCGACGCGCTTGCATTCTGCTCTCTCCAGGATTAGGACAATTTGGGAACAATCTTTGAAGGTCCCCTTTCGTACTGCTAGGGTGTCCTCGGCTCTTCTACGGCAAATGAACTGTATTTACAGCACTGTGTTTTCCCCTCTTTCTTTTCTCTCCTCCTTTCCAAACTTCTGAATTTCAAAGCAGCATGACAACTTGGAGGCTTGCCCTCTGCGAACGAATGAGCATCAGATTTCGGCGACCCAATTTGTAACTGTTGCGGCGGCAGCGACGTACACGTATCTGTACTCCCCGTCGCAGCACGCAGGATGCTACATATCAGAGCTTTCGATTGGCGGGCGCTGGCAACACGTTCAAGGAACTTCGGATCGTCTCGCCAAGCCGTTTTCGTCGACGATTGCAACCGAAGATCGCAGTCACAGCCGCTGCTCACTGTACTAGATACCGGAGTGTTAGGCCGTCTGGTGCCAGTGCTGCTTCCTAGGAAGTTGGCGTCATCGCCACATGCCATTTTCGATGCTCGGAGAAAATGTTGGCAGTCACCGCTGCTCGCTGTCGTTGGCGATTTTTGTGGCAGAAGTGCCAGCGCAGTTCGCGACGTACTCGGACGGCCCAGACGATCTGAGATGAACCTTCCTGTTTCGAGAATGGATCGCAGATCGACACCCGTCTCGATCCCAAGACAACTAAGCAACATCAGAACGTCTTCGGTTGGCACATTTCCCGTTGCACCCTCTGCGTAAGGACAACCGCCAAGCCCTGCCACTGATGAGTCAACGACACTGACACCAGCCTGCACACACACACACACACACACACACACACACACACACACACACACACACACACACACACACACATGAAATTAAGATGCCAACTAAACTGTGTGTTAACAGCCACAACTGGAACTGCAGAGTCGATCTTCTTAATTTCTTAAACCACCGGTACCTTTCAGCGGCGGCGAAGGTTAAGTTGTGAATATAAACATATACCGCATTCTTTGGAGGCCGGGCGCCGCTGGACCTAAATGGCTGGTGGCACCAACCAAAACCAAAGAAAAATAGGCCGCGCTGGCACTTTTCGACAAAGCTTGGCGCACAGTTATTCTCTGCCTCGGCAAAAAGAGGCTCAGAGGCAGTGACAGTTTACATGAAAAAAAAAAAAAAAAGAATGAAAAAGACGGAGAGCGAGCATCGGTGGAACTGGTGAAGCATGCGAATCTCTTGGATTTTCACAAGTCCTTATTAACAGCTACAACTGGACTTGTTAGCTGCAGTTAAGATAAGAACCTCTTGGTGACAGCTGTTAAGTGCAGCTAACAACTCCTTGATTGTGACCAGGTTCATTCTGCAAATCCTCGTTTGGAATTCAAGTACAGCTCTGAGAAGACATTCTGAGTTGGTGTTGAGTTGTAGGTTGAGCCCTGCTATTTCTATTGCATTCTTGACCATCTCTTCTCTTTCTTTCCATTGGGCCAGAGCCATTTTCCGTAGGTTTCCTGGTCGGACGTCCGGGACCCCTTCAAGTTGCACAAGCATAATGGGGTGAGGGGTAGCCCTCGATCACTCCTGCAGTGTGCGCAGATCTGCACCGGGTTTTGGGGGGGAAGGATGTCGGAGCTGAGGGGTGTGGATGTGCAAGGGGGGGGGGGGGGGGGGGGGGGGGGGGGGGGGGGGGATGGAGAAGACAGGAGGTGAGTGCTTGTGCAACTTGAATGGGTCCCGGATTTCACTATCCAAGTTGCAGAAGCACTCACCTCCTCTCTTCTCGATCGCGCTCATCCTCATCCCCCCCTTGCACATCCACACCCCTCGTCCTCATCCCCCCCCTCTGTACATCCACACCCCTCGTCCACATCTCCCCCCCTGCACATCTCCCCCCTGTTTGGAATATAGAAATAGATTTCTTCTTCGAGTTGCACGAAGATAATTTCTGGGAACTTTGAGAAGAAGGTGTCTTCACTTTCCCATTTTTGTAATGATTTCGCTTTCCAAGCACGAGCATAGCGCAATTGGGGCCTGACGCTTAACGCGGAATACGGGGCCTGAAAAAAATGGGGCCTGACCCTTAACGCGGAATTGCCAGTTGCCTTCACACATGAGAACACAAACAAGGATCATAGCAAGGATGGGCCCGAAAAAAAAGGGGAAAGAGGAGGGCGGGGGGGAAGGGGGATATGGGGGATTTGGAAAGGGCTATGTGAAGGGCTCCGTAACCGAATTTCAACAAGGGGGGTTTCTAAGAGGGACTTGTGAATCGGATACGAGGGGGGCACGGGGTGCAAAGGACTGTGTACACAGTGCTTTCTGAAGGGCTTTGTACAAGGGGGTTTTCTACAACAGATTTACAAATTAGATGGGGTATGCAGAGCCGGGGGGGGGGG